CCCTCCCGCGCTAGCCTAAGGGCCACCTTAGCAAAGCGCATCCCAGGCTGCATAGCCGCACTACCCTACCCAACCATACCACACATAAACATGACACTACCCCCGGGGTTTACACAGACGAGCCGGCGAAGCAAGAAGAGCGCCAGAAGAAAGGGCCCTAGCCGGCGGGGCCCAGCCAGGACAAAAGGAGGTCCCACAAAGCGCCTACACCGGCCGCATTTGCGGTCGGGGTAGACGACGGATGGGGCCCACCTACGAAGGCTGTCCAGGCCTACACGAGATGAGGCAGGATAAAGAGGGATAATCCCCCTCGATCCAAATCATTGAGGCCAATTCCTAGCCATGGAATAATGGCGCGCGCGCGTGGCGCGAATGACAGTTATTACGATTTCCGTTCTTATATTTTCATTCATAATATATCTAATGGTTTTATTATTGTATATGTAACTATAACCTCACTTATACTCTCTCTTCTGTGCTTATACTGGTAATTATTTACTTTAGTGGCACCACCTCCAATTTTCACGAAATTGTCTACCCCCCTATTTTCGATGGTGCTGAACATGAATCTGCAGTTTTTTTTTGTGCTGTCGAACCTAGTTTTCGAGAAAAAAAATTTTCAAAATTCTAACCTGGATATTTCAGATAACACTACGTAGAACTCTGTATATTTTATTTAGCTTTCCAGAACATCTGTTATGAACAATTAACACTGTTCACGAAACACATTTTCGTAAATTTCAAGTAAAAAGATATGTATTTAATAAATAAAAATTTTGTAGTTTGAATCCGCCATTTGTAATTCGTGATGACAACTTTGAGTTCCCCCACTCATTCAACTCTGTTCATCCCACATAAAATTAATATAATTTTATTTATTAAATACATATTTTTTTAGTTCAAATTTGGGAAAATGTGTTTGTTAAACATTGTTCATTGTTTATTACAGATGTTCTGAAAGCTACATAAAATATACAGAGTTCTACTTACGTAATGTTATCTGAAATATTCAGGTTAGAATTTTGAAAAATTATTTTCTCAAAAACTGGGTTCGACCGCACAAAAAAACTTCAGATTCGTGTTCAGCACCATCGAAAATAGACATATAGTAGACAAAATTTTGTGAAAATTGGAGGTGGTGCCACTAAAGTAAATAATTATCTTATTTATTTATAAGTAATATTATACTCAATAAATAAATAGTTAATAATAATGAAATAAAAATTATAGTACCTACATTTTAAAATCTGCTTAGAAAATAAATACGCTTTCGTAATTTTTTGAAGAAATTATAAAATTCAGACCGATTTTATAATCTAATCTAAATTATTTCTGCTGGAATTCAAATAACTAAACCTGTATTTAACAAAAAAATGTAAACTTCTTTACTACTTTACGTGTAACACTGCTACATAGCTAACAATCTCTTTACCTTATTGGATTACAATCATAAATTAATTTAATTATTAAAAGTATTAAAACCATGAAACAGAACAGGTTATGTTTACTCTATGGGATCCGCCATATTCTTGGCGTCTTTTTCTAGGGTGGGGGTATTTAAAAATTGCCATACATTCATAAATCATTTAAAATTTCATACTGATTTGATTAGTATATTGTGGTAAGTACTTACGTAAGTTTTTTTAAGTTCTTTTTGAGTAATACCACTGGATTTACTAACTAAATTTTGAAGTTCATAAACTCTCAGGATCTGATAACTTAAACATTTATCTTTATTAATTTATTTATTGTAACCGTTTAATAAATTAGCTTGATTTGTGACACTTTGCTCATTGTTTGGGGACTTTGACTGTTGCTCTCTGGTTGTGGATGGCCTAAACTCTAGAGATGGACGATGGTACTTCGGAGAAGTTTTGGAATAGGGTCAAGACGGGTAGAAATAAAATTTTAGGTTGCTCCGCTGGAACAGGTTTTGTTCAGTGTATGCGTTTCTGTCACATATAGGGTTGCCAGATCTCCGGGTTTGACCCGGAGTCTTCGGGTTTTGATGGTACATACATCTCCGGGCTCCGGGTTAACATGTCATTTCTCCGGGTTTTCTTTGTTGCGGAAAGAAACATTCCCTGATACCTGATTTTTGTCACGAACGAAGTAGATATTTCCTGATTGCGTTTTTTTAAAACATCGATTTCTTCGAAAACAGCAATTCATTTACATAATCTTTTTTTTAGTCATCAATTTTACAAACGAGTCATATCTCCGGGTCTGTCATGAAATAGATCTGGTAACCCTAGTCACAGATTGTGATAGACCAATTGTGGTTCAGTTCACATTGTTACAACTGTAAACTGTTATTAAATTTGTACGGTTCGAAGAACAGAAACAGGGAAAATAATGTAAATTTTATAAGTTTATTATGACCTTAATAAAAAAAAAACAGGAGGTATTTTGACCCACTGAAAATGATGGAGCCATCGGTGGAAATCTCGATTTTTTTGGTAAAATAGTTTAGATTTTGAACATTATTCAAATGGCTATAACTGCTTAAGGATGTATTTTACGGAAAAAATGCAAGAATAAAAAGTTTTTATTTTGGCCCAATGACGATTCCTGACCCACTCTACTCACCTGATCTGGCACCTTGTGATTTTTTTTGTTCCTCCGGATATGAAACGGCATCTGTACGAAGGTGTTCTGCGCAGTGGAAAAAACGTTTGTATCAGAGTGTACCTTGAAAGTGGCTAATCCGAATGAACCAATTCTGTATTTTTTAAAAATGGTGTCCGGTTATTTTTGGATTCCCCTCGTACATCGATCCCCTAACTTTTTATATGTTGTGCGCTATCACGATTGCGCATTTCACGGGCTAAATAAAATTTATTGAACTACGTATTGATTACTGACATGTATATATTACAATGTTACAAATAAATGACACCTTTTTGAAATATTGTATAATATCGTTTTAGAGAGCACAATTTACATTTTTTTTCATCTATATTTTAAGAATGATTAAGAGTATTGCTATTGGGAGCGTAAAGAAAGACACACTCTTTATTGTACAGGAATTGCACAGATCTGTGTTACAGGTCTCGCACAGGATTCCTTTTTGAACCACGTTCTTATTGCTTTTTGTCTTCATAAGTTGGCTGCATATCCCGTCCTTGGTGATGGGCTGACATCCTCTTATTGTTGTAACGTATGATGCACTGGAATCATCGACTAGAATGCAATAATAGGTAATTAGCATTATTTTTTAAAAGTTTTTATAACTTACTTTGATACTGAAATGTAGCGCAAACTTCATGTTTGCTGCTACAATTTAAAATTCCCAAATATCTAGGGTTTCCACCGTAACAGTCTCTGTTGGTACTGAAACATTTATAGCACTGAAGACATGATCCTGAAAAGTGGAAAACATTTTAATTAGACAACAATTTCAGTCCTCGGTAACGTTCACAGCATTTTGAATTGGATACTGACAGTATCTGAGATACATATACAGGATGTCCCACTATAAATAAGGTCGGCGAGTTAGCATATTAGGGGCCCTAGAGCTTGGAGACAAAAATGTTATCTAATAAATCGACCAAGAGAGATCACTGGAAACAGTTTTCAAGTTCGTTCAGCCGCTAGGAAGCGCAGTCTACATATCAAAGCATAGAATTGAGAATTTTTCTCAGAAATGGTTCCTCTTCAGGTATATTAAATAGTGCAAATGTGGATAGCCGGATTCATTGCGTATAACTTTTGTTATTTGCATTTTGTTCTATCTCTTGACAGAAAAGGTGGGGGAAGCCCATAATGTGCTCATCAGAAAAATGCATTTTTTTAAGGATTGGCTTATCAAAAGCTCAGCGTTATATACCTCAATATGGAAACCTATAGATGGCGTTATTTCAAAAGAATGCTATTTTATGGATTTTTCTCAAAATTTTTAAATGCAATGGAATGCTTTTCTTTATATAAATTAATTAAAAAAAAAAACTGATGAATATACGTACTATAAGTTTGAAATTTGTAACGAAAGTGTTGTTTAAATTTGTGTATTTAGTTATTTATTGGCGCTATTTATCCATGTTTAGGTTATTTCAAGTTTTCTTAAAAGAGTGAAATAGCAGGACTAAACTTTTAATAGGTTAGTCTGAAGAGCATAAAAATATATAGATACCTTTTGACGCCAAAACGGTTTTTGTTATCAAGTTATTCGCAAATTATGATAATACATTATTGAGGAACACGACACTAACGAAAATACATTTAATTACCAAAACAAAATGCTGAATTCATTTATGTAAAGAAAACTATAGGATTACTATTAAAATTTTTGAGAAAAATCCATAAAACGTCATTCTTTTCTATTTTTTCTTTGCATCTTCCACAGTTTTTAAGATAATGATCTACAGGGTGATACTTTTTCTGGTGCCGGGCCTCCTTTCAGCCTCCCAAACTTTCTTCAGGTACGCCACTGGTCTCATAAAATAAATTATTTTCTGTCAGTCAGAACCTACTAGAGAATTTTAAAATCCGGCTTTTATTTTAGCCATTTACAGGAAATAATTTACTTTTTTGCTCGAAAACGACCGCAGATACGAACAATTGCAAGAGACAAAAACATTTCTAAATTGAAAAGGGAATGAAACCTTTCTTCTAGAAAAGGCCAGTGGCGTACCGGAAGAAAGTTTGGGGGACTGAAAGGAGGCCCGATCCCAGAAAATACTGTAGATCGTGACAACTATTAGGCAAGGCTAATGATGCAGGTAATCTAAGTTAACCTACATTCCAAATTTGAGGCATAGATCTCAAAAACTGTGGGAGATACAAAGAAAAAACAGAAAAGTTATTGAAACCCTGTACCACAGCTTATGTTATTAAGCTGTGCCTGTACCATGGCAACGAAGCATTTACGGACATATATATGAACTTTTTTACTGAAAATTATGCGCAGATTCACCCTCCTGTATAAAGACATACTATTATGAAACACCTTGATATTAAGCAAAAAGAATAACGGACAATATCTTCAATAATATATATTTTTGAATATGATTATTACTATATTTTTCTAAATATACGTAGAATATTAGTTGAGGAAGTATTAACTGAAAGCTAAATAGCCACTATAATATAATATAAGGCATTTTTCTAAATTAATATTTACACATTTTATGTAAGACGAAAAATATTAATTCATTTATTTATTTTTATAAAAAGATGTTATTTTCTCTAACATAACATAATTAGAATTTTTTTTTTATTGTTATATTAAAAATGAAATTGTTGAATTTGTTCTAGTTTTACAAAAGTTAACAGCCTCATTTATTTTTATCTAATAGTAGGTATTTATTGATTACCAATGCCTCAATTAAAAAAACGTTTTTTTTTTCAAATATTTTTCACTGCAGACACATCTCTTTTAATGCTTTGAAGTAGCCACAAAGTCCATTTATAAAACATGACCGAAGTGTAACTAATTTGCGGGTACCTATCAGATTTTCAAAGTAAAAAAAACAGTACCAATGAATACATTTTTCTTCATCTCTGACCATTGCAACTAATAGCTAAAAAATTTAAACTGCACATAGTTTATACTGGACTAATTTATACAAAAAATAAACAAGTTATGACAAAAAAAGTGCCAAAAACTGTTCAAAGTCACTCCAATCTACGGTACATATTTATCAAAGTAAAAACCCAGTAACAGATCCATAAAAAAATACAAAACATTTTCTGAATAAAATCGAAACTTCCGTTTTTTAAGGAATTCTCAGTAAAGAAAAACTACTTGGTACCTCCTCGCTTCCGTTCATATATGAATAAATACACAACCATTTTACATTTTAACAGTTTTTAATGTTTTAAAGACAAAACGTAACACACATTATGAAGTATTTTTTTATATAAGTATTTATGTCTTTACTTACCTGTCGATATAAATAATAGCAGCACCACGAAGAGAAACTGAAGTTGCACACATATTTTACTTATTACAGTCATCACAAAATAAAAATTTACTTGTTCTCTATGGTGAATAATGAGTTATAAAACATAGATGGCCCTGGTATACTTCCACAACTTTAAACAAACCGCATGTACCTAATTAAAATTACTTGAAAAATTCTAATAAACAAATTCTATTTTTGCCTTTGTTGCCGTACCTAGAACTAATATCTGAGACACATATCGTATTTTTAAATCATACTAGACGGACGTTAAAAGTGTACCTACAGTGATTTTTTTTTTAGATTTACAGATCCTCTATTTATCTGACATATTTGCTCTATTTTATCTTATATAAATAAATAGCAAATCTCGAAAGTATACGAAATGATTACAGAATTTCTTTTGAATTACCAGTTTGCGGTAGAAAAATAAATCAATTTCTTTGTAGTGATCAATAAGTCTGTATCTGCATATAAAATCTGAGTTTCATTTTTAACCACCATAGGCGTAACTACAAGGGTTACAACGGGCATATACTTTTTCATAATTTTCATAATATTAGTTATGGTTTTTATAGCTTTTATTTAGCAGTTCCCAGATTTATTTAATTTATCAGATTTATTACACTTTTTCAAAAAGTATATTGTTATGCTATTTTTTCTTCAACTGAAATCCCCCATTTAATTATTAATTTGTGCCTTGAAATTATTCAAACCAAATTTGGATAACAGCAAAGTAGGTTAGGTGGATACTTCGTCAAACATTAGTCCCCATATTGCTAATTGAGTTCATTTGTTATTGTTTGTGGTTCAATTTGCTGAAGACTCTTAGGGAATCTAATGAAGATATAGCTGTACCTGAGGAGATACTGGAGTGTGCGAAAGAGGTTTCTTTGAATCTCAAACTTGGCAAATAAGATGAAGCCGTCAACGTTTTGGTCACAATATTCAATGTTGCGGTCAACGTTGGATATAAAGAAGGGGATTGATGTAAGCAAATATTTAAAGTCACGTGGTTTTCTCAAGAGACAAAATGTCCCGAAAAATTCGCGAGTATTTACAAAGGAGCATGTTGATTGCTTTTTGAATACCTGTGCCACTGATTTCACTTGACCTCTATATTTTCACGTTCAGTGTCACTTTATTCACATACTGTGCACACAAAATTTCTTTAATATATTTTCATTTGTTCAGAAAATACTTATTGTTAGAAAACGAGATATTCAAAGGCAAACGATTATACAGGGTGTCAAGTAAACTGAATATGAGTAGGTCTTACAATAATTAAAAGGCTTTTTTTCGCGAGTGAAGTCGTATGTTGTAGTATGTGTAGTATGAGTGAATGAAGATATTTAAGCTACCATATGACAACTAAGTTCAAAAGAGATAGAAATAGTAACTACAAGTCAGATATTCACCAATATTCAGTCACGAAAAAAAAACCTAATGTCATATGAATATTTTTTAAAATTAACTGTTTCTAATATAAGTACACAGAAATTAAGGGATATTACAAGAAAATTATTTTCAAAGAGCTGTAACTTGGAGGGAAAGGGTCGTAGAGAGAATAAAAGAAAAGGAAATTGAAGCTTCAAGTGTCTAGTTTTCAGATCTGCAGTTTAAAATTTTTTTAGCATAAGCAGTTTTTGAGTAATAAGAAAATCAACGGGAAAAAAAGGCTATTAATTTAAAAAAAATTTTTTTGGTAATTTCATCATAAAGCTCTTTTAGATCATTTAATTCTCTTCAATTTGAGCGGTTCCAGGGCCTTGTTGACTTTGACAATCGATTACTCGGGAAATAATGGTCGTACAGAAAATCCAAGAAGGGTTTCCCCCAAGTTACAGTATTTTGAAAATCATCCAAAATTTTGGGATTTTTTTAATATCCCTTAATTTTTGTGCCTAGTGTATAATAAATTTCGACATATGTTATATCTTATTAGTACTAAGTGCTTAAGAACAACAAAAAAACTATATTGGCTATTTTATTTATCAAAATAAATGCATAATATCAAATAATATCTGATGTTCCGTATTTATTTTGTTGCATAAATGACCAATGCCAATGACATAAGTAAAATGGTATCTTGTTGTTAAACGTGTTTGTCTCGAAGACTGTTCATTTTATAGTAACAAACAACTACACATTTTTCACATCAAAAGTATGAATATATTAAAAACGCTGAAAACATTTAAGACTAACGTTTTAATTAGGGCCATAACTATCGAGATGTTCTGCTCATAAAAGTAAATATTGGTAAACTAAATACATTAGTAGAAACAGTTTCAAGTAGCACAGCTTTTGCCCAAAGTTTAATTTGAATGAGAGAATCGAAAAGTGTAACAAAAATTTGATTTGCGCAACTTCAAGAGCTAATAACACTACATGGTAAGCCCAACTAAAAAAATAAATAATTCCGTGACATTATTTCTTTAAGACTTACCCAAATTTACCCACCATTGCCCTGATTTCCTCAATACCCCATATAAGACAATCTCCTTAAATTTAAAGGCCAAAAATACTTTTGTGTTAGACTCTGTAGAGCTGGTAACTACACAAAACAGCAAATCATTGTGACAATTTTCAAAATTCGTTAGATTAGTATGTTGTAACATAGTATACCATTCTTGATATGTAGATATCAACGAATTAATAATTTTTTTTTATTGAATTTGATGAACAAAAGAATAGAAATAAATCACGAAACACTTAAATTTTAAAAAATTAAAAAAATAAGAATATTTGATACCCACACTGCGGTAGTAAGTAGTAGTAAGTGTCTCGTGATTTATTTCTATTCTTTTGTTCATCAAATTCAATAAAAAAAATTATTAGTTCGTTGATATTTATTTTCAGAGGTCGCTCGAAAACATTTTAGGTACACTACTTTTAAAGTTAAAATAATTATGAGTGACCGTTAGAAATTAAAATATCAGTTTGAAATTTTCAGAATCGACATTTTTTTCAACCTAGAAATTGATAAAATAACGAGAAGAAAAATAAAAAAAATTTTACGATTTTGGAAATTTTTAAAATTCTTCAAAAAAAATTAAAAAATTTTTTTGAGCTGATTTTTTGAGGGGGCTCTTAAAACATGGTAAACTAACATATTTTCACAAGAGACACGAAAAAAAAAATAATCGTTTTTTTTTGGACCACCCTAATGTACCTGTGAATATTATTTTAGATTTGGTTTTATGTAATTGCTTCCGCTTTAAATTTTATCACCAAATTTTCATTCTGAGTTATGAAAAGAATTAATAACAATACTAGTAATTACTGCAAATTTTACAATTTAAGAGTTTACAACTAGGTAGAAAAATCAACAACGTTTACTTTATTACAAAAATACAAAATTTCATAGTAAGTATTAATTAACTACATTCTTCAAGAAATTAAAAAATATGTTATAAAACCTATAAAATACGAAAAGTTAATCATATTGCTGGTAGCACTGTTGCATAAAGTGTAGTTACACAGATGGAAGTGGGTCTTTCTCACTTTGTGCCCTTCGGTAGTAACGAATTTTATCATTTCAGTCAGATTCATATTGTAACATCCCCGATATGTAGCCAAAACTGTAACCCCAGGCATGTCAGCTGAAAAACATAAAATTGACTTTGTCAGAATTGTTAAGGTACTACAAATTGTATGGGCAGTTGTGAACAATAAAAAGTTTCCCATTTGAACTGGGTTTTTACTAAGTTAATTCTTTAAGTACCTTTAAACGTTTTATTAGGCAGGAAACTTTTTTGTCCATAGCTGTCTAAGCATAGCAGATATTAGTAAAAATCTTATTTTATTACTAGACATCGGAAACTTTGTGACGACAATCAAATAAATGAACAGTAGTAAACTGTATTATACTAGGCTAAATTTATGGCCAAGTCGTGTGCCGCTCTATGCTCATGATACATAATGCTATAAAACAAGTGCCATACACTCGACCAGGCTAAACGTCAATCTCACTCATGCGCGCAAACGGTAATGAAATGCACGGCCATTCGTGCGAAAACGTAGACATACTGAAGAATTTACTGAAAGCATTTTTGAAGAGACAGATTTCATACAAGACGAAGGTGATGGATTCATTCCTGCCAAGAAAAGTAGAACTGAATAACAGTAAATGTTTAAAAATATAAATCATTATTGCTTTGTATTTTTTTACTGCCCTTATTCCCACGAAATTTTTAAAAGATACATATTCTGTAAAAAAATCTTTAAATAAAGCAAAACATTGAAATTTGAAAAAAAAATTATATTTATAGGTATTATTCAGTCAGAATTTATATGAAAATTTTTAATTTATAAATATTTAATATTTAATTTGCTATGGCTTAATGTCGTCAATGTTACATTTTATGAAGGAATAGTACTCGTTTCGATGATATATCTAAAATAAAAAAAAAAACATCACTGAACCGTATTTGAAACGTTCAAGTTAGAAATCTCGGGCGTGACCGAGAGCTGTCATCACGCGCATGCGCGCGCCTAGCGCTCCTTCCGCGTGCAGGCCGTTTATTAACGTTAGCTTTTACTACCGCTACCGCGTTTATTTATGAACTATTAATGTGAAACATTTTGAAAATAAAAGTTTAACCCTATATTATTGTCTCTAAAATCCTAGTCCGCTACAGGGCCCGAGAACTTATACTTGAAAATATGGGGAAAGTGGGAACCACGTGACTTGAGATGGATATACAAGTTGGGGAAAGAGACTATAGATGTCGCCACAAAGATTTTGTAGAATACCAATTTTGACAATTGCAATTATGAATCATTTCATGTCATTCATGTTCATGTTTATTGTTGGTTAGGTTTGGCGAGTATTGGTGTGTGTTTTATTTGTGTTTTTAGTGTGATTTATTAGATATTTCATTCACATTTATTTATATAACATAATAATGTCTGATCATCATATAATCACATTTTTTTATTAATAATAAAATGTTTTGTTTTTTGTTTATTTTTTAATAAAAAATGTGATCAGAGGTAGGTAGTTTTTTTATGGATATCAACACAACGAAAAATTTAAAGTTGCATAATAAATCTCTATTACAAGAATTAATCAAAGATTGGTTTAGTAAAATTATTTACTTGTAATATTTTTTTATTCACCGTGAAAGCTAATACAATATAGAAAGCACTGAAACTCTATAATCATTTCCACTCTTTTTTTTCAAAATATGTATTGAAATTTGAAATTTTTTCAACAAACATTTCAAAAAGTTACAGTATCAAAATTATTTCTTATTTTAAGTAGGAAGGCTATTAAGAGCATTTAAAAGTGTCTTTAATGCTTGAGTGATTTTAATGCTTTTTATCAAATGTACTTATTTTCTCATGGTGGCAAAAATTATTTACGTGAAAATTATTTTACAAAACCAATTTCTGAGTGATCTGTGTAGGGAGAGATTTGTTATGTAATTTTATATTTAGCGGCGGCAGAATACCTAAAACAAATATTGGGTAGGTATGTAGTTGTAGAGCGTACAACTAGATGGCGCTTGCATTTTTTACCGGCTACAGGTAATTTAACTCACTGTATTACCGATAATTTCTAGAAAGGGAAAGCAATAGAAGTTGGAGAAAGTGTCAACAGTTAGCGCTGTTGATGACCACGAAATCTGTTGAAGTTTCCTATCTACAGTATCATTTATCTAGGGTCCGCTACGTCTAATTGTTAATCAACAATTAACGTTATCTTGGGAACAAAGAGGCGTAGGTAACTTCTATTTATTTTAAATTGCCATGAAAATAAGCTCTATTTAATGCAAAAAGAGGGAATTCTCGAGCGGCTTTTGGATTAACTCTGAGACGATTTGTTTATAACTCTGTTTTGCGCCTCCTACTTTGTTAGTTGTAAAGGGCAACTTAATTTCAACTTTTTGAAATATATATTTTTTTCGATATGTTTCTTTGGATCAATTACAACCTACATCTACGATATTAACTTCTAAAATTAACGTTCAGTAATTAAACAATTAGTTGCAAAAAAAACGAACGGGCTTTGGCACACATGTTGGACATTGGATTTACCGTATTTTCCATAAATTTCATCAACATCCATCGCTTTTTGCAATAAAAATGGTCAATTTTGCAGCTTATTTGCAATTTGCCAACTTAGCGTCACTTCTTTCAAGTTAACTACTTTTTTGTTGATATTATCATCTTACATTTTTAAAGTACAATAAAATGTCTACTAATAATTTAAATTTTTTTTAATTTTCAAGTTTTATGGTCTAATTCGACTGGAGTAGAATAAGTCATTGCTATGTGTGTCTGGTAATTGTGGCAACTACATTTTAGATAAAAAATGTCCATTTTCAGCTATTTTAAAAATTTCTCTGATACATATCTCAAAACATGATAAAGCTATCTTAAAAAAATAAAACAAGGTTTTCTTTAAAGGGTGGCAGCTTTTTAGGGAAACAAAGTGTACCAAGGCAACTTGATTTAAATGATTTAATTTCATCTGTGGGTGCTTACGATAAAAAAAATTGCACTTGGATTATAAACTACAAATTTCAGTCAAAAATAGTACATTTCTGGTTCAAATGGAATACAGGTAATTTTTTGTAAATCCCTCTCTTTATATTAGTTAGCAGCTGGGTTAAAACTAAATTCTGAATGTAAGTTCTATTATAAAATCTTTAAAATGATTTGCCTTTCACCGCCTGTTGATATTTAAGATTTCTTAAAAGGCTGTTGCTTTATCTATGGTGCCAGAAAAATGGAGCGATTTAAAAAAAATACGTGGTCCTGTTCATAATCAAAATTGTCAAGTTTCTTCTGTGAAAAAATAGTAACTAGCACTTGTAATAATCCATTTGAAAACCCTTTCTCGGACCACCTGGCGTATTGTTTACATTGTACTTCTATTAAATATTAGACGGCTGGCAAAGTACCAAATTGTCAGCATGAACGTATAAAAAAATCATAATCAAATTAATTGTTTTGTAACAGATGTTTGGTTTTGACTAACATTTTTGAAATAAGGTCATTTCCACCATGCACCATGCATTGGATTCAATCACAAGTAGATGTAAACGCAATTATCTAACTCGATTAACAAATCATTAGCTCAAATTGTTTATGTCGATCGAAATCTTTAGACGTGTCCAGATACAAGTTACAAGGTGCAACATCTTTCACTGGTAACTAGTTTTGAGAAATAATATTGCTATTTGTTGATATATGTGTCTACTACCGAAATAAACGAAATAGATCCCTGAGTTTGAAAACCGATATTAAGAAAACGTAGGGGCAAAAAAATTTGAAACTTGGACTATATATAGCCTCACTATTATTCTATTGTATGCTAAAATTTCAGTTAGTTTCGTTATCCCATTTTTTATTTATTAATGAAAATGTGGAAAAAAACTCGGTTTTCTGCCTACAAAATTGATGTCTCTCACTTTAACTCGTCTAATTTTTTGGTTAATTGGTAAAAACATTCCAAATTTTTACTGACGATAAGTCAAACCTGTCAAACCATTGTCTTTAATAGGTAATTTTTCTCAAAAGCTCTTCTTTTTTTATTTTTAAGCAAAACAGAAGGGAGTACTATCTCCGTAAATATTGTATTCTTTAAAAAAAAAACTCAAATATGTCACTGTCTAGTTGGAGTAGCAGTTTTTTTGCTTTATTTGCAATTACAGATTATGAAAGTGGCTGTTCTTGAATGTCGAAGAGAGTAGAGAGAGAAATATAATGATTTTAATTTGTGATATTACCATGATCGATAATTTTTACGTAATTTTGTCTTTATAAATCTCCAATATTCAGCAAACGGTTTGGTGCCAATTTGAAAATCCTGCACAAACACCAAACTTCTAGTCAGACTTTGAGCAGAAAGGGTAAATACATAATGCGCATGTTTTGAACAATTGGAAACCGTTGGAGATGCGGCAGAAACAAACCTATTAGTGATTGATATANCTTAGCAAATTATTCAAAAGCTGTAGCCAAATTAAGTTGCAATAAAAATTCATTATCACTTTTTATAACCACAAATTTTAACATAAAACTTTTTTAAATGGCCATTCTCTACTTGTCTAAGTTGTTCCAATCTGCCATTACAGTATGTACTAGATTGCTGGTTATAACAAATGTCAGTTTCTTATTTTTAGATTTACAAAACAATGTTAAAAAAAGAGAGTTGTAGCTACCAACTAGAAGTTTTAAAAATGGTGTCAAATTTTATATAGGTTGTTCACAAAAAGCGTGACATACCACAATTATAATTTTTACGTAATTTTGTCTTTATAAATCTCCAATATTCAGCAAACGGTTTGGTGCCAATTTGAAAATCCTGCACGAACACCAAACTTCTAGTCAGAGTTTGAGCAGAAAGGGTAAATACATAATGCGCATGTTTTGAACAATTGGAAACCGTTGGAGATGCGGTAGAAACAAACCTATTAGTGATTGATATAGGCTGAAACAAACTGTAATAAATTTTAATAAATATGTCAACGATAGATAACAGTGTATAAAGATAGAATGTCTGCCAATATTGCAGGAATAATTTTGCCACAAAGACATTGACAAACTTAAGGTAGGTAATTAAGCCTTTTTCAGATGGATATAGAAATATGCATCTGAATTAAGAGAACTTCTTTCTTATTGGCTGCTGAACAGGTTTTTATTAAACAACCAATAACAAGGACGTACACCTAATACAAGAACTGGAAACTTTAGATTTTAGACAGAATGGAAATATTTAATGTATTTTTAATTGTACTTTAACTCCAAGAAAACTTGCGATGTAAAAAATGTGATTTTTTTTACTAACTTCAGCACCCTGTGTCTCGGAACAACCTAGGACTCTTCATACAAAATTTTTTGCCACAAATAGTTTGTTGTACAGTCAAAGTATGTTTAAGCAAATTCAGTAACAAAAGTACTGGATTACAAATTAAATTGTCCATAGAACTATGATTATTTTCCTTACTCTCATATTTCAAGACGAAACACTTAGTTTCCGTGCAGTTCGAGGTTTGCAGAGAACGTTTGACTCCATTGACACACTCGGGGGATGTTTGGTGGCAGTGGTAACATTCCAAAGTGTTACCTACAAAAAATAAATTTGTATGAATATCTTACTATACTACTATACTACTACTAAGGTATGTATGTAACTTCCAAATTAAATGTAAACAGATGCAGCAAAAATTACACTAATTAATAATAGTATATTGAAAATGATGAGATAAGTGATTTATTATTTATAAACTAATGCAAAAAAATTACCCTTTACGTCACAAGAATTTCCGAAATTTTTCCGTGATTTTTGACAGGCTGTATTTAGGTGAAAGATGGTCATATCGGGAATTAAAAAAAAAGCATTTTGAAGCTCTAAGGTTCTAGTTTTTAGATCTTTCAGTCGAAATTTTTTTATCATGCAATTCTAAGAAATAGAGCGACAAAAAAATCCACGGACTTGGAAACATTTTTTTCAGCTAAGTCATTGCATGGAGCAGATAGCTTGTTTATTCAGCTTCAATTTACTTTTTTTTTTAAATTTCGATACGACCATTTTTCATCGAAATATCGGACTTTTAATGGAAAAGGATTCTTTTGTTTTCAATCATCAATATCTCGGCGACAAATGGTCGTACAGAGAATTGAAGGGAGTTTCTAAAACTGGAATAAATCTCCTATAACATGCTGCCGCAATTTTTCGGATTTTTTTTTTCATCTTTTACACGAATTTTAAAAAACAGGAAAAAAGGGTAATTTATGGGTTTTTAGAAAATTGACGACTAAATTAGAAATATTCACGAAATGACTAATGTTAAGCATGACTTTTAGAGTTCGATATACCCAGAAGAACCCTGTGACGTTTCATCTCGATCTAGCGAACCGTTTCTTTGTTTCAAACAGTCAAACAGAAAAAATTGCAAATTTTTTGGTCGCGCTATTTCTTAGAATTGCATGATAACCGTAACTCTTAAAAAATTTCGTCCGAAAGACCTAAAATCTAGATTCTTAGAGCTTCAAAATGCTTTTTTTAATTCCCGATACGACCATTTTTCACCTAAATACACTGTAAAAAATAACGGAAAAATTTCTTTTGACCCTTTAATTTTTTGCATTAGTTTATAAATAATTTTTTCTCGAAAGCCTAGCATTTCAGTTAAAAACAGTAAGAGACTTTTTTGCTATAGAATAAACCGCAATATAAAAAAAATATATTAAGTTAAATTGAAAAATTTGCAGTGGTGTAGAAGTTATATTAAAAATAGGGGTTATCAGAGCACCTTACCGACGCCTATGATAGATCTAGTTTCACAACAATTTGTAAAATCGATAGAACTTTTTCTTTGTATATTTTATACTAAATATTAAACAAATGGCTTTCATAATTTAAGAAAAAATAAATGANCGTGCAGTTCGAGGTTTGCAGAGAACGTTTGACTCCATTAACACACTCGGGGGATGTTTGGTGGCAGTGGTAACATTCCAAAGTGTTACCTACAAAAAATAAATTTGTATGAATATCTTACTATACTACTATGCTACTACTAAGGTATGTATGTAACTTCTAAATTAAATGATGCTTAAGATAAGTGATTTATTATTTATAAACTAATGCAAAAGAAAATGAATTTTTCTGTGATTTTTGACAGGCTGTATTTAGGTGAAAAATAAATTCAACAGACGACCCAGCTATAGTCACCGATCTAAGTTTATTAAATGTGACTATTGTGGTAGATCTAAATCACGCCAAGAAGGACTGTTACTATTATAAAACCCTCCATATGATTCAAACTACACAAGATGAACAAAGTTTTGCATTTATGCTTGGAAGAAAAAATGCCAACCAGAAGATTCCAGTGCCAAAGACGAACACACTTTTATATTGGATTCAGGGGCAACGGATCATATAATAAACAAACTAAATTACTTCAGCGTATATTCCGAATTAGAAAATTCGATCCAAATATCAGTTGCAAAACACCACATCAATCGCAGCAACACTGAGGGGAAACATACAGGTCATCTCTAATTTGGATGTTCCCGGAGTTCTAGAAGATGTTCTTTATGCTCCCCATGTTCCCTACAATCTGCTGTCTGTTCGCCGCATGTAAAAAGCCGGTATGTTAGTCACCTTCCATGAAAATGGTGGCGTCACAATTGAACAGGGTGGTAAGGTCATAATGACTGGTAAGTCACAAAAATGTAACTTAATTACAACAAATTTTAAAATGGCAAAACAAGTAAATAACGCGTACATAAATTATCAAATTAATGCAAATAATAATCTAGATAATAATGCAGATAATGGTAATTATGAACTGTGGCATGAACGTTTAGGCCATATTGGAAAAAATAAATTTACTGAAATAAAAACAAAAGACCTCTTTCAAAATACTGTACCATTGAATGAAATAAATCCTACAGATAAGTTATGTGAAGCGTTTGTTTACGGAAAGCAATCATGTTTTCCTTTTGCCAAAAGTAAAAATAAAAGTAATGTAGAAAGGCCTCTATTCGTTGTACACTCCGATTTATGTGGACCAATTACTCCCTCGACAATAGATAATAAAAATTACTTCGTAACATTTATTGACGAATTTACACATTATACAGTTACATATTTATTGACGTATAAGTCTGAAGTGTTTAAAGTATTCCAAGATTTTGTTGCGAAAAGTCAAGCTCATTTTAATTTAAAGGTAACTAGTTACCTTATACTGTGATAACGGGAGCGAATATATGTCCAATGAAATGAGAGCTTGTTGTACAGAAAACAGAATAACATACTATTTAACTGTGCCGTAAACTCCTCAACAAAATTCTGTTGCTGAAAGAATGAACAGAACTTTAACAGAAAAAGCTAGAGCCATGATACTCGGTGCTGAAATAAATAAATGTTTCTGGGGTGAAGCCATTCTAACTCCTACCTATATATTAAATTTAACGCCAACAAAAGCAGTAGCTCAAAATAAAACACCTTTTGAACTATGGCAAAATAAAAAGCCTAGAATAGATCATTTAAAAATTTTGGTTGTACTGCTTATGTTTTGAACAAAACAAGAAAAAGTAAATTTGGACAAAAATCAGTAAAAGGAATAATGGTTGGCTATGAACATAATGGCTATAAAATTTTTAATGTAAACAATGAAATTTATTACAGCACGTGATGTATTGTTCGATGAAAAAAAATTTAAAACATCAAGACCTCAGTTAGAACTTGATGAAGGGGTTGAAACAAAAAACTCCCAAAGTGTCAAAATACCTAAAACTGATAAAAAATCGGTAAACAACTTTCTTTCTATTCAAGGGGACCCAACAACAGAAACCGATAATATAAATCAGTTAAAAGACACTCAAAATGAATCTGAGACTCCAGTTACTGAACTCAGACGTAGTGAGAGACTTAAAAATTGCAATAAAATATAATACCAGGAAAATGATATAGAAATTCCATCACTTTTCATTCGTATATTTTATACTAAATATAAAACAAATGGCTTTCATAATTTAAGAAAAAATAAATGAAAACCGAAAAAAATGTTTTTTCAAGAGCTTTATCTCTAAAATGAAGCCTTTGGAAGAAAAAGTGTTTACTTCAAAATGACATTATTTTGACGAGATCTATCGATGGTTAAAGTCCTAATTATAAAAAGTGAATCACCCTGTATATGACAGGTTGTTTTAAGAAGGAAAATAATTCTACACGCAGATAACATTGTCTTAAAAATTCACATAATTGAAGCATAAATAGGGACGGGTATAAATTGTGTCAAAGTTCTGTATAATACTGTTTGAAAATTTGAGAAAATCTACAAATTTGTTAGTAATAATTTCACAATTGTAAAAAAATATGTCACACAATATATGTCTGTCCCTATGTCCCAATGTATTCCATTGTAGAAACAAAATAAAAACAGATTTTTGATGTGACAAGCTCGAACAAGTGGAACATTTTCTAAAAAAGCCTTTTCTTATAAAAATTTTAACATGTTTTTAAAATAAAGTTGCAAGTTAACTTGACATGATTGTGTTTAGGAAAACAGATAATTTGTAAAAGATGCAAGAGAAAATTGTATACTTCCTTTAAGATAACGACGTTAAATTATTTAGATTTAACAGTTGCGGTAAAATTTTCATTTGTGATTAAATCAGCATACTGCGATTGTTCTAAAACGATTTCTTGGGTAAAATAAAAATTGATTATGAAAAAAACTAAATAAAATATTTATTTGTGCGATAATAATAACAGTTATCTGTAATTTGTCGTTTCATTGTGTATTGTAATGAAGTCTCAAATCATCGTTAAGACGATCAGATAGTGTCTAAGTTGTTAAAACATCACAATGTAAAGAAATTTTAAAAGAAAATAAAGTTTTTATAAATTAGTTTTCAATCAGACTCTTCAATCAGATTTTTGATTATGGATTGAAGACATGGACAAAGTATTTGAAACAAATATAAAATTTTATATCTCAAAATTCCAGAATAACGTTTAAATATAAACAACTTCCCTTAATATCATTTTTTCCTGTCGATAAATGTAAGGGTAATATATTTCTTACATCATTTTCAGATTCCCATTGACAAATAAAATTCTTAAAAAAATTATTTTTCCACAAAATGAAAAACAAAAATATTTCCTCTTTTGTCTAGTCTAGCCCACCTTTAGGAATATATACACGGGGTGTACTGCTCTTACTTTAGACTAAATATAACAAGTCAAGCCAATAACTACGTATTTTAGAATCGAGAGCTCTGAGGACAAATGGATAAATGTTTACATAACAAAACATTCCTAAATTTCAATAGAGAATCAATTATCTATAGTTATGTTCCTTTATGTAGCATACTATTGATTATAAAAACGAACTTACCTAGTTTTATCAAAGTTATCACAAAGAGTAACAGCGACTTCCAGTACACTATCATATTAACATCAACTAAACAAACACCAGCCAATAAAGTTTTGAAATCCGCTATCACTTTAAATTCAACATGGCCGCTGGGGTACAAACATTAATATTGTTTACACTGATTAATAGCATTTTACACAGCTAAATTTTAAAGGGTTATCACCAATTGTTTACTTCTCGCATAGTTAGTTCTTTTTCACATTTATAGAGATATGCTTCTTATCATCTTTTCAGCCAGAGTTTTTTGGATGAACAGAAATAATTTAATCAGTACTAACCCTTCTCTTCAATTTCTGTTTTGTTCAAGAAATCTGTTAATATCTAAAACATAGTAAAAATTATACATTTATTTTCACTGGTACTAATAATGATACATTTTTTTGTGAATAAAAGTTTATTAAAACTGTATATTACTTTTATTTCTCAACTAATAAATTCCATTAAAAATATTATCTTTATTTGCTTACCTGATGTGAATAATCTGATGGGCTAAAATTGGACAACTGAAAATATCCATTTTAAGTACTGTTATTTGTGTACAAAATGATCACAAGTTTTAAGGAAATGTATATAAATGTTTTTTTTAATATTCTTTAAAATACACAAACTCTCACATTTACAATAATTAAATTGAATCGAGTTTGTTTTTATCCCAGCGGTTGTCATAGATAATAATATCCTATGCAAAATAATTTCCTGTACCTTATAAACACCAACTTTTTAAAAATACATATTTGGAATACAAACAAATTTAATAGATATTTTTGTTAATCACATGGCGTATAGACACATTCTTGTCTCGAAGAATTTATACAAGTTGAACAATTGTTGCCCAAACCGTTATTAATTGATTAATCTGCGCCTGAATTAGTCGTGTCTGAAACTTGTCCGTCGAAAAAGTGTACACGCTCTTTACATAGTAAAACAAGTGAATGTGAGATGAGGCGCGTTGCCAATTTTATGAGTTATTTTTATTTAGGACTAGCGAAATATGGAAAAATACAGGCAGGTTAGAGTAAATAACTGAAATTATGAGTTTTGTAAATTTCGTTTTAAAAAGAAAATAAAAAGCAGTGCATTAAAAAAAAATGAGGCTAAATTTAATTTTTTCTTGTAATATAATCGTTTCATGGGCATATTTGTGTTAGGTATAACTACTAGGTAACTTTGATATATACGTAAAGGATGTTCAAAAGTAAAAAAAATCTTTTAAATATATATTAAATATAATTTCTTATTTTTGAAAAAGTTTCGTTTGGAGTTTTAAACTGGTATAAAAAAAAATGGCTGAAACAGAGAGAATAATACAAAGTTTAAAACGAGTATTAGGTAGTAATTAAAAGTAGATCTATGGGTATCTAATTGTAATTAGGTGTGTTACAAAGAAATTTTACGCAATTCGACAACGTCGCTGATACGAAATAAGAGGTTAACAAAACATCCACTATCCGCTAAAAATAACCCTATTTCGTCAGAGTTCATTCCGACCGATGTACGAATACAGTGGACGTGTGTATATAAGTCATATTGGTCGTAACTAAATTTAAAAGTATTAATTATTTTTTTATAAGATTCAGATTAACAGCAAATAAAAGATAATTATTGATTCTATGTCTTCGATACTAGTAAATTCGCAAGACTGGACTAATACACAAACTGATAATTGTACTAAAAATGCAATTGAATTATGTAGGTATGGTACTTAGAAAAAATAAGTGAAGAATTTTTAAAATAAGTTTTATATCAGTTTAATTAAAAACGTTTCATATATTACGTTTTCAAACAAATCGTAATAAATTTGCAAATTTCTTGTTCAGGGTGATTCACTAAATTTTGACCCCCCTTTTAACTTTTTTGATTTAAGAGTTATAAAAAAATGTAAAATACAAAAATTGCACGATTTTTTATGAATTTTTCGAAAATGATATTTGAAAAACAAATGAAGTCCAAACAAAATGGCCGCTTATGTTAACTTTGTTAATTTAAATAGAACACCCTGTATATTTTTACATATTTGGATTTTGACTTTCTTAAAAATTATTAGTTAATTACAAAGCCATTGAATGTAGAAACTTTCTTGTCTCTAGATATTTTTTTAGTAAAACGCAATGTTTTTCGAAAACATTACGTTTTACGGAAAAAGTATCAAGGAAAAAAAGTTTCTAAATCTAATGGCTTTCTAGCGGACTAACAATTTTTAAGAAATTTAAATATGCGACCAAATTTTTTTGGCTCCAAAGTCAAGAGGGCCCACGAAAAATTGTCTCAAGGGGGTTCCCCGCCAAAAAGCGTAGCACCATCAGATTCCACATGTCATAAAACCCCTGTGTACCAAATTCATGATTCTCGTACAACAGGATCCTGAGATATAAAAAAAGATTATTCTTAGGGGCGGATTTCAGGGGGCTGTAACTCCAAAAACTCCAAAAACTTGCTTTAAGAATCTATGATCAAATTTTGTTGGATTTCGGGACCACTGTATACAGACAATATTAATTTGTAATAGTTTTATAGATATCTATCAAATTTATAATTTAGATTTTTTTAGATACCTCGCGTACTTTAGAAATAAAACCCACATGTTAATGCTCGTTTAATTCTAATATGTTCTAAAATGTGCATTACATTAATCTTTTTTCTCATCTACAATAAGCATTTAGTGATGTAGCATGTATTAAATAATTGAAAGAACTTATGTTTTCTTTAGAACCATATTGTTAGCAAATGTGCATGTGTAAAATTTTTCATTGGCCGTTTCTTTTTATGTCATTGTCTGCAGAACTGTGTAAAAGCTATATGCAGTCTTCATCATCTAAAAAAAAAAAATAATTACATTTTGGTACGCACCAGTATACTTTTTAAAATCATTACTCTTTCTTGCGCCTTTTCTTTCCCTCCCTGTGTTTTTATTATTTATTACAGATTTACGAAAATTATCTTTAGATATAGCTAATCATTCTCTGTTTCGAAAACCCTAAGAATAGCAAGAGCAAAGGTAGTAATCTGAGCACCTGGAGTTAATTTTCGTAAAGTCCTTATTAACAATACCTACAGCTCAGTGACACCATCTACGTTCCACTGATAGTAATTCAATGCAAAGATAATGCCCACATCAGTCCATAACGATTTGGCAGCAATAAATTGACATTTCGTTGCTCTATTCAACTGCATGTCTTATTATTAGAGTCCCGAACGAACTGCATGGTGGTTATAGTGATATACAAAAAAAAAAACAACTGAATCGTGTACTCACACTATTCGACTAAACCATGCCTTTTAACAATGTGATATAAGAAGCACTTTTGCAACGACCTATGTTATATTGATAGACATCATGATCATGAGTCAACACAATAAAAAATTCATCACATAGACTATCGCTAAATTAATAAGTTCATTTACTGAATGATGTACAAATAGACCAAGCAAATTAAATTTTTACTCGAAAAAAGTCCTACCCGCTAGATTATTGTAAAATTGTCTAAAGGAACATAATACAAGACATCTCTCGTCTCGTGAGTCAAAAACTTTTATTAGCTAACTTTTCTATTTAAACAAATAAGTGAGGAAAACAGTTTTTTCACTTTGCAGGGAAAACCATCAATTTTAGCGAAAAGTGACTCTCAGACAGCTNTGGGCGGGCGAGAACCTAAATGCAGTATTAGAAGGCCGTCATCAACACCAGTTTTCACTTAATGTATGGATCGGAATTGTGGGAGATGCTTATCGCCGTTTTCTTGAGGATGAATTGCCCGTACTTTTGGAAGACATCCCATTGCCATTAAGGTTGCAAACGTATTTTATGTCCGATGGTGCTCCACCCCATTTCAGTTTAGCTGCACGTGAATATTTGAACAATATGTACCCAAATCGGATAGGTCGAGAAGGCACTCAACCCTGGCCTCCGAGGTCTCCCGACTTAAATTCGTTTAATTTTTTCCTTTGAGATCACCTCAAACATTTGGATTATACGACTGCAGTGCAAACCATAGACGAATTAAGAAACCGCATTGTCCTGTCAAACAATTAGACATACAGCCGGAATATTTGAACGGGTTCGCCAATGAATGTGTCGTAGGATAGATGCCTGCATTAGAGTTGAAGGTGCACATTTTCAACAACTGTTGTAACGCCTCTGTATGTAAAGTATTTTTCATATCATTGCTTTTGTTAAATATTGTTTCTTATGTTTCTGTTAATATTAATTATTTAAAAAAATATTATTTAGTGAGTTATTGTTTCTCAGCTGTTACATTGTTTTTCCTTTAAATGTATTGTTAAAGGTGATTAGTAAATAACTAAAATATTGAATTTCTATTTTTGTTTTCTATTTCCCTTAATGAAAGAATATTAATTTTTTGCTCGAAAACGAAGCAAGATATCAAAAAAAGTAAAGAGACAAAAAGTTGTATTTTTAATCGCATAATTAGACAAACATATGATACCTAAGAAAAAGCACGGACGTCTCATATGTTTACTTATTAATATCAACAGGAGTGAGTCAAATTACATCAAAAGACGTCTACCGTTTTTATAAACAAACCTCTAAATTTCAAAAAAATCGGAATTATGGTTCTCCAGATATTAGTAAAAACCTTATATTTTCTCTAAATTTCAACACTCCGAAACGAAGCATTTTCGGACATAGGTTTATAGCAACTTTCTTTCAAGGAGGCTCCCCCTGAATTTTTTCGCAATATTAATGGGACACCCTTTATCAAATAGGCATGACCAACATTTATAGACAGAGGCAGATCTATCTTTGGGGTCAGCAGTTCCAACACACTTTTCGTCGTATCAATATGGTCAGTATTTGCACAAAATATTTCTAATAATCAAGTTTTCACATTTCGATTTATTCTCTTCAAATATGTTCTCCGAGTTCGTCAACACTTTTACACCAGGAAAATTAGCGAAAATAAAAGAGAAACTCGAAAAAAGTCCTATCCGCTAGATTATTGTAAAATCGTCTAAAGCAACATAAGTCTTGCATTATGTTGCTTTAGACGATTTTACAATAATCTAGCGGATAGGACTTTTTTCGAGTTTCTCTTTTATTTTCGCTAATTTTCCTGGTGTAAAAGTGTTGACGAACTCGGAGAACATATTTGAAGAGAATAAATCGAAATGTGAAAACTTGATTATTAGAAATATTTTGTGCAAATACTGACCATATTGATACGACGAAAAGTGTGTTGGAACTGCTGACCCCAAAGATAGATCTGCCTCTGTCTATAAATGTTGGTCATGCCTATTTGATAAAGGGTGTCCCATTAATATTGCGAAAAAATTCAGGGGGAGCCTCCTTGAAAGAAAGTTGCTATAAACCTATGTTCGAAAATGCTTCGTTTCGGAGTGTTGAAATTTAGAGAAAATACAAGGTTTTTACTAATACCTGGAGAACCATAATTAAGATTTTTTTGAAATTTAGAGGTTTGTTTATAAAAACGGTAGACGTCTTTTGATGTAATTTGACTCACTCCTGTTGATATTAATAAGTAAACATATGAGACGTCCGTGCTTTTTCTTAGGTATCATATGTTTGTCTAATTATGCGATTAAAAATACAACTTTTTGTCTCTTTACTTTTTTTGATATCTTGCAGTGTGTGATTTTAATAAGTACCTGAACTGTGTAGTTGTCAATTCCTGCTTATCAAAATTAATTACACAAATAGTGAAATGTGCGATATGCATTTTCTTTATGGCCTTGCCAACGGTATTGCATTAGCCGCCAGGCGACTCTATGAGCAGAAATACCCTAATCGTATAATTCCTCATCATACTATCTTCACCCGTCTTCATCAACATCTTAATGAAACTGGAAGTTTTCGAAAACTTACCGCAGGAAACGGGCGACGCCGCATAGCAATAACCCTACTATTGGACAAAGATGTACTTC